GAAGATTGAAAGCACAGGTTACACAGAAGTAGTGTAAAAAAATAAAAAACAACGTTGAACTACAGCTGAGTATTTAGTGGTGTGGAAATAGCTAACACACAACTAGCACTATGATCTTTATGAACATTTCTCATAGTACATTACCAACATTACAATCACTGATCATTATTACTGCAATAAGCAGCACTGGGATACAGAATCTCCTTAAAATTTTGAAGTATTACCAAAGATTTACTGGTCATTCTTTTATTGCGTCCCGCTTCCTATGTAATGACTTTCATTGCCAGAGAATGGAAACACTTACTTGCTCTAAGTACTGATGATTCTTTAGTACAAGGGCTACGAGGTGAGACAGCACAGGAAACGTCTTTTCAGGGTTTTCCAGCCTTCTACTCAAATGAAATAGCAATAAAAATGTAAACTCGCTCCACAAATAAAGTGGCAGAAGCACTACTTTTCCAATTCAGACATCAAAGGCCTCCAGACAGGGTGCTTAGATGTAACACATGGAAGATTCTTTAGTGACTAAAAGTAGATTTCAAAAAAGCAGTTACAACTATTATTAAAAACTGCTTATCACTGACTTGAAAATGACATGCACTGAAAGGAGAAGGAGCACAAAAAACAGGCGGTTGGTATTTGAACTCACAAGGAAACCAAGGTCAAAACAGATAGTGTCAGAGTGGGTCTAAGACTGTTTGAGGACGTTAGATTTAGGACAAATATTGCTAGCTTTCTTGCATGAAAAGCAGCTGGCAGGTCAGGGAACAAAGGAATGCCACAGAAATGTGAGGAGCACCACAGAGAGAGAAAGTTCTCTCATGTACACCACAAAAATAAATAGTATCACAGAGTCAACATATATGGCAGATAATAGAAATGGTTTGTGCCAGGCCTCGCATTCAGTGAGTAATGGAGATATGGAACATTACTTAAAAATATGAAAGTAAACAGAGACTTCTATCAGAAGAATACAGCAGACAAGAACAAAGTTACCTCAAGGTTACAGGAGGAAAAGAAAGCACTCTGCTCCAGTGTTCAAACTCCCTCCAATTCCAGCACTTGTGAGTCAAAGAGATGGCACCATATTTAACTCCTGATTATTCTAAGGAGGACACACATGCTCAAAGACCAATTCTATATGTATCAGGTTCGGAAAAACAAGATTTACTTCCATTCACAGTCACTCCCATTTCTTAGCCTGAGAACCATTTAGTTGTAATGCTCCTTGAGGAATATTTTCTTTTGTTCCACACAGTGTTACCATGTTGCTCAGAAGAATATTTAATCTGTGTGAACAGTATTTCATGTGATCCCAAAGCTTCCCTGGACCCACATCCTCCCTGAAATGACCAAATATTTCCAGTGCTTTAATGGGGGGGGGGAGAGGAGAGTCTTTTCCAAAAGCATATTTTGGACGTGATATTGACCAAACATTCTATACACTACAACTTCACAACAGAAGGAGCTAACTCCAGGATGAACCTATGAGGCACTTCCATTACACATCCAGGAAAGTTTAGCTGTGAGTATACTTTTCATAGAATCATAGAATATCAGGGTTGGAAGGGACCCCAGAAGGTCATCTAGTCCAACCCCCTGCTCGAAGCAGGACCAATTCCCAGTTAAATCATCCCAGCCAGGGCTTTGTCAAGCCTGACCTTAAAAACCTCTAAGGAAGGAGATTCTACCACCTCCCTAGGTGACGCATTCCAGTGTTTCACCACCCTCATAGTGAAAAAGTTTTTCCTAATATCCAATCTAAACCTCCCCCACTGCAACTTGAGACCATTACTCCTCGTTCTGTCATCTGCTACCATTGAGAACAGTCTAGAGCCATCCTCTTTGGAACCCCCTTTCAGGTAGTTGAAAGCAGCTATCAAATCCCCCCTCATTCTTCTCTTCTGCAGGCTAAACAATCCCAGCTCCCTCAGCCTCTCCTCATAAGTCATGTGTTCTAGACCCCTAATCATTTTTGTTGCCCTTCGCTGGACTCTCTCCAATTTATCCACATCCTTCTTGTAGTGTGGGGCCCAAAACTGGACACAGTACTCCAGATGAGGCCTCACCAATGTCGAATAGAGGGGAACGATCATGTCCCTCGATCTGCTCGCTATGCCCCTACTTATACATCCCAAAATGCCATTGGCCTTCTTGGCAACAAGGGCACACTGCTGACTCATATCCAGCTTCTCATCCACTGTCACCCCTAGGTCCTTTTCCGCAGAACTGCTGCCTAGCCATTCGGCCCCTAGTCTGTAGTGGTGCATTGGATTCTTCCGTCCTAAGTGCAGGACCCTGCACTTATCCTTATTGAACCTCATCAGATTTCTTTTGGCCCAATCCTCCAATTTGTCTAGGTCCTTCTGTATCCTATCCCTCCCCTCCAGCGTATCTACCACTCCTCCCAGTTTAGTATCATCCGCAAATTTGCTGAAAGTGCAATCTACACCATCCTCCAGATCATTTATGAAGATATTGAACAAAACCGGCCCCAGGACCGACCCCGGGGGCACTCCACTTGACACCGGCTGCCAACTAGACATGGAGCCATTGATCACTACCCGTTGAGCCCGACAATCTAGCCAGCTTTCTACCCACCTCATAGTGCATTCATCCAGCCCATACTTCCTTAACTTGCTGACAAGAATACTGTGGGACACCATAGTACATGGGACTTTTCTTTCTTTCTTTCCTTTTCTTTAAACGAGAGAGAGAGAGAGAGAAATAGGGAACCCTGACTCCGTCATTCATTCATCATTCAACCAAGCCCCGTTTCTAGCACTTCAGGAACTTTCTACCACGGAGAAAGGCAATCACAAGTTGAGATTTTGTTTGTTTGTGTGTGTGTGTGTGTGTGTGTGTGTGTGTGTGTGTCTTTTTTGCTTTTCTTCTGCACTTTGGACATTTTAAAAAAAGTAGACAAAGACATCAACTGCAGCTGGACACATTTATCGGGGCTTTGTGGAATCTGATGGTAACATCTAAAGGGTCAATGAATTTTGGGGAATGTAAATATAACCGGAGCTGAGCCCAAACATATTTTAAATGAAATTTGACCATTTTTCGGTTTATGAAAAGTCTGATGTTTATGAGTTTGGACAAAAATGTATGGCCTATTGGTGCCTTTGCCAATCATTCTTGGAGGTTTTTTTTAATTGCTATTTATGACTGGTCACTTTATGGCATTTCCATTTTTTCTCTCAAGCAAAATCCATTCAGTTACAAGACAAATTTCATTTCCTACAAAAACAGTTTTGAATTGTACATATTGTTCATTTTGTTTGGGAACATTCATACACATAGAATTCCATGTGTGAAAACATTTGTGAAAAAAAATCAACAGTGGTTTCACAGACATTGTGAACTAAAGTATGGTATTTAGTTTGCAAACATGTTTATTCCCCGCCCCTCTCCCTCCCCGCTTCCTCACACGTTCTTGTCAACTGCTGGAAATGGCCCACCTTGATTATCACTACAAAAGGTGTCCCCCGTCCCCCGCTCTCCTGCTGGTAATAGCTCACCTTACCTGATCACTCTGGTTACAGCGTGTATGGTAACACCCATTGTTTCATGTTCTCTGTGTATATAAAATCTCCCCACTGTATTTTCCACTGCATGCATCCCATGAAGTGAGCTGTAGCTCACGAAAGCTTATACTCAAATAAATTTGTTAGTCTCTAAGGTGCCACAAGTCCTCCTTTTCTTATTGTGAAGAACTGTCACCTCTATTCACCCAGCTCTGCAGATGACAGAGTAAGAGGTGTGCTCATTGTTATAAAGTGCATTGTTTCAGATCTGAGGATCGTTGTTAGGATGAGGATAAGGATAGACAGAGTGATCGATAGATTTCTTTTTCAAGAGATATATTACTCAGTGGTTCTGATTGTAGGTATGAGCTTATTAAAACCAGCACAGGTTTTCTAAGATTTTGGAATTGCACGTGAACAAAACTAAAGTAACTGCAACATGTATTTTCCTTGAATATCAGCCAGGATACGAAGGAGAAATACCAGAAGAAAGGCAGCTCTTGTATTATCCAGTTTCTAACCTGACCAAAACCAAAAAGTACTGGAAATCTTGCTAGAAAGTGTTTTCCCTAGGGTTCTCTAAAGCATTGAGGTTAATAGAATTTCAGGTGTTTTAACATTGTTGAGCATCATGGAACTGAAAATGTAGTCTTGTTTTCCAAACAGTCAAGGCTCTGGATTAAAAAAAGCACAACCTTTCAACAGACTTTTAACAACAACATGTTAAATAACATTTCTCCAAAACTGCTAATTTATGTCCAAAATTCTGAAATAATTCTCCCCAGCGTAAGATTGAGCAGTGCTGGTGAGGGATATTTTCAGATAGGAAAGGTGGAGAGGTTGGAGAAGGTTCTAGGGATAAACTCAACAGTCAAGCAGAGAGGCAGATAAGTGTTTTAAGGATAATACTGTTTTCCTTTTTCTAAAAAATTTCCTTGTTCAGTGCTGGGGGAAAGCGACTCTTTTTCTGTGTTTCTTTACCATAGTCACATGGCAAAGAGCTCCAGAACACTTGCTTCAAGGATGCTAATGAATACAAGTTATTTTTCTACAACTAGCTAAAGGACTGGTAGGACAAATATGGACTGGCCATTTAAGGTGACATACTTAAGTACTTTGCCATCTGTAAAATATGATGTGATTAATCTTATTTGTTCTGTTATGACGGTAAGTTTAGAAAACTGCAAGATTGTGTGTTTTAAGAAATGATACAACGTCACTAAAGCTAGCCTTTCGACAATGGTGCTAGAGCAGCATTTGTGGCCTAGAGGCTATCCAGCAGGATTTCTGTTACTTTTTAAAGTAGTGCATGTAAACTGTGGTACAAACTAAACCAGGGAAATATGACATTAGCAAAGTACTGCCTTTCTATATACTCTTGTCCCCAGGCCAGTCAGGACTCAGTATAGCTTCATAAGTATTTTGTACACAAGACAAATGAGCGTGATCAATCATAGTCAGCATGCTTACCTCCCATCCAAAGTTTGTTTCCTTTAACGTGGTCCTTGGTATTGTCATGTAAGGTCCAAATCTTTCCCCAACTTCAATCTTCTTTTTGGCCCAAATCCCCAGCCCTGCCCCTGGAATCGAGGATTCTCTGAGTTCAAAGTCTGGTGGGATTGGAATGTCATCAGGAATGTAGACGGGAGCTTCATAAGGTGAGCCTTCCTTGGGGGTGAAGTCCTCACTGGTAGGAAAAGGTGATGGAGGTCCGACGGGGATAGGGGACATAATACTGTCCTCTGTTTCCTCCTCTGCACTCTCACCAGCCAGGAGATCAGGGTCTGTCTCATACATACTATTTACAATCTCACTGTCACCTAAAGGGGAAACAACAGAACAACACATTCTAAAACCCTGAAGTCAATAGTTAGTTAACCCCTTCCCGGGACAAGGAACGTCAATGCGCAGTGGACATTCTAGAGGGTGGGAATGGAGCGACAGGAAAGATGATCCTGAGCCACAGAATTCAGATTTACAGCTTTCCGCATTGAGTTTGGGGGTTTTCCAGAGTTCCCCTGTAATTTGAAGGTGTGTGGATCCAGTGTTTTGGTGCAGATAGGTCTACAATGACGCACAGCTAATGACCGTAACATTAAGGAGCTACCTTTGCTTGGTTAAACATTCAAGTCCAGCTGATAAACAACTATTACTTTAGACAGCCCTGTGAGCATCTTCCTGCATGTCGCAGGTGTTCACATTCCAACAGGTCGGACAGTTGAGATTTTACTGGGAAAGCAATGGTGGCCTCTAACGCGGGAGGAAAAAGGAATGTAAGTATTGTAGTGGCTAAGTGGTATGCAAAATGGCATTCATTGAAGAATGGAATAGAGACCAGCAACCATGACTATCATGTGGCACAGGCTCAGGATAGTGATGCCTGATGACCTTCAATGATGGAATGAGGACAGAGGAATATGGAGAAGGTGGCCAGAACTCTCTGCTGTTGTTCATTGTTTTAACTAACTCCAGGTATTTTACATCAAATGCAAAAAGCCACATTAAAGCAAAGTTATGAATGAAAGTTGCATGCACAAAGATCTGATAATTCTAGTGAGTTTTCACTTTCCTTAGGGGTCACAGGATAAAGCACATGTCTGTACTGGAGAATGTAGGTACTCAATTTAAGCTCATTTACAGTACGACAGGCAGTACTTGCGAAACAGAGACACTGATAAAGGAAACGAATGTTGATGAATCTTGTTTCTGTTTTCGGAGCAGCTCTGAAGAGGAGTCATTCAGACATGATTCAGAGGAACACCAGCACCAGCCCCATGCTCATCTCTTCAACACTGAATGCGTTGCCATCTGCAAGGGCATGTTGGTCATGTCCATTTCAATGACCAGGTCCATTTCAGTGACCACTCCTGTTTGCACATCCCATAACTGGAGCATAGGTAACTAATCTCCCGGCTGGGATCACCATTAACAGCCGGCCCCAGTACACGTACAGCAGATTAGTGCCTAAGGAGCTCTGTTCTGTGGCATGAGCTGTGACCCTAAGAAAGCCTACAGCACCTGTGGCCCAAGTTTGGCCAGAGCTGGCAGACTAGTTTTAGGTTTGGTTTATTTGGTTCAATGGGTTATTCAATTAAAGCTGTGGCCAATTTGACCTTCCAACTATGTCTCTGTCTTTATTTGCGGTTTGGCACTCAGCAATGAATGTTCCTTCTCAAGCATAATTATAGCATCACTAGCTTATAACATCGCATTAAGAGTAATGTATCATATATGCTTAAACAGTGGACATTTTAAGTTACTCTCTCAACCACACTACATATATTGTTTCATAAAACTTCATAGGACAGGGATGTGGTTTAATGCAGTGCTACAATGCTGAAACAGAAAGCTATGGAAAAGTTGTATAATATCAGCTCCAGAAAAATATTCCATGCAGCATTTCACAATCTGGTTAGAAACAGATCAATTCAAGGACTATTTACAACCATATTTTCTAAAGAAACCAAAACCTTTAAAAGTCATGTGGCTAAAACACTTATTTAATTTAGCAGCATTCAGAACTGTAATTATTAGGCTTTAAATGGCCAGTGGTTTTTTTCTTTTTCTTTTTTTAATTGATTTGTGTGATCTTTTCACAAAAGCAACAGCAGAACTGCAGCTGTTTCCCTGGTACCCAAAGTTCTTAAGTTGTTTAGGTTTCAGAAACACCCACATAAAACATTTAAGTGGGATGTATACAGAATAAAGGTAAAATTGTAAGTAGGAGCAATTAACATTATTAGTCAGAATTGGTAACCACATCTGGTTACAAACAATGTGCCCAATCCTTGGAAAGCTTAGCACCCTTGACTTGAATTGATTGCAGTTGGAGTGGAGGCTGCTAAGCCTTACAGGATTGGATCACAGATCAAGTTTGAAAAAAAGGAAGGTTTGTTGTTGTTTTTACAGTAAATATCCTTAATGCTGTGAGGCTGTTGAAGATCCATTCTTCCAGAATAATTAGGAAATAAGTGGTATTCTTTTAGAAGTACAAATTATTACACTTGAGATAATTGCAAGGAAACACCATTATTAAAGCTATCACCACATATATCAATTTTCTGGGTTGATTTTTGCTTCTAAAAGCTAAATAAACCCAAAGAAGTTTTAGGAACTAGAAACTTGTTCTGTAATTTTTGAGGGTAGTTGAATAAGAAAATGCAGTGGAACCTAGAACTTGGATACAGTGAAAATCCTGCAGTGAAAGAGAAGACCATCTGAGATTTATTTGTTTTGCCCTGCTATACTCAGAGTCTAATTTTGCTTACTGTGACTCTTCTTAGAGTATTTTAGTTATTGCTTATGTTACAGTAGCACCTAGAGTTTGTACAACAGCTAGCACATAGCTAGAGACAGTACCTGCCTCAAAGAGCAATCTAAATAGATGAGACAGAAGAACGGTGGGAGAAAGAAATTATGTTTATCCCCATTTTGCAGTTAGGCAACTGAATCGCAGAGAGATTAAGTGACTTGTCCAAGTTCACCCAGGGGGGCTGTTACAGAGCTGGGAACTGAATCCAGATCTCCTATGTCTCCATCTAGCACCTTAACCATTCTTCCCCGCTCTTAAAGGAGAAGAATGTGGGGAGTGGGGGAAGATAATACTATAGGTGTAGTTCCTTTCCAAATGTAGTTTTTGCTTTAGCACAACCTCTGCACTCCACTAACACCTTCTTTAAGCATGAGTAGAGGAGGTGTATTTTTCAGTAAACGGACAAATCCAGAGCAGGGTAATTTGTAAAAGTACCTCGGCCATTTGCAATCCAAACACAGGCCTGCAATCACTGCTAACCAGCCTCAATTACAGCCGAAGTGTTTCCAGTCACTCTCTTCTAGGTCACTGGAAGGCCTTGCCAAGAACATGAGATTTTTAATGACTTTGGAAATATGCTACACAATAGTAAGTTATTTACTTGTAAGAAAACCTGAAATTCTTTATTTTGGTTTTGCAGGGGGTTCAGGGTATAGATTCACAACTGTGCTGGTCATTCCAAAACATTCTTCAGGGAGGCCTAAAAAAATAAGGAAAGTGTGTGTGTGTCAGGGGGCGGGAGGAAGAGAAAAAAAATATCCAGACTACAAGCATCATTTCCCCTTAGTAACAGCAGTGTCTGAATTCTGCCTTGTTGATGTGTCTCTCACTTTCAGAGAGCATCCATGTGCGGTGTTGCAGGGGACTTTTTTCAGCCTAGCGCCCCCTTTAGCAATTCTGGTAAACACCCGTGTGCTTCCTCTTGCTCTGGTGGAAAGGTAGAGGAACCCAGGCCTGCCTTCTCCTCTGGGTTTCAGCCCAGGGACCCTGTTTTAGGTGGCTAAGGACTGTTTCGTCCATCCATCAGCCACTTCCCTGAGCTGCTCCTACCATTACCCCAGCCTTCCACTAGAGCACTCAGCAGGCCAGCCTTCTTCTGTCAGTATCTGCCTTCCCTGTGAGGGAGGAGGCAGCCTTTATGCCAGCCCCTTTCTCCCAGTTCATCCCCCAACTGGCTGGAGGAAGAGAAGAGCCTTGCCCCACCCCCTCTGCCAGGCTGCTGATCCCAGGCCTTTAAAGAAACAGTGCCTTTTTTATCCCAACCATTACTTATTCCTGGGACCACTTCTTCTGTATCCCTGTCCCTCCTTAGGTCCTTGTATATCTTTCCTGGGTCTTTCAAAATCCTTAAAGGGATATACCAGGCGGTGGAGTGGGCTGACCACTAGACATTACTTCTCTTATGAGCAGGCTACCCACTATGTGTCTATAAAACATTATCAAATGGGCTGATTTCTCTAGCCAAACTCATCCATTTTGGTACACACACATCTCACTTAGCACACAGACAAGTGAAGAGATTTTCCTCAAGCTTCCGAAAGAAAGAAACCCAAACCTCCTTAATCAATGAGTTGAGATTCAACATAAAATAAATTTCGGCCCCTTTTCCCCCCTGAACATTATTAGGAAATGAAAACAGGAGCTATCATGGATCTCCATAGTTTCTGCTAGAGTGTTGGCTACGACACATGCCATAATACATTATTTGAATCCAGTGTAATAAATCGATATTCACATGCCTCCTGCTATATTGCAGTCAAACGGACATTATTTCCCAATATTCATTTACTTCAATAAATATGGGATTTACGTTTGGCAAGAAGACAACAGTTTTAAGAGAAACTTGGGGGAAATGTTAAATTAATATTCCCAAATATCTAATAAGATAGTTATTAGATAGTGAGTAAAACAGTAATGGTTCTCCTTAAACTATATATACTGAGGGGTAGTAGCAGCTATGTCTTAATAAGTCTATTCCATGGTTGTTAATTCTAAATGAATAGAAATAAACGTACCCTGCTAAGTTAGCATGTTGGCTCAGGAATATACAGCTCCTGCCATTGTAACCGGAACAGAATGTGACCTTGCTACTCCCTTGTGATCCCAGAGAGTATGGTAGAAGGGGTCTCTACAATAGTACCTGACTCTTCTAGAGCTAGATGCTGCCTGGTTTCAAAGGAAAGGAGAACCCTAGCCATTAAAATGATAGTTAGTCAAAGTGAACCGGGAACAGCAATTATTATTGCAGTAGGGAAATCTTAAAGCAGAACCGTGGTATTGGCTCTTAAAGAAGACAGGGCAGACTCTCGTGAGGGCAGAACTGAATTTAAAGGCAGGGAGTGGAGCACAGACCAGTGGAGGATGGTGGCAACTGAAAGTGGGTCAGTGAAAACGACCTGCAAAAAAGCAGGTTCTGGCGATGCACAGAACTCCAGGCAGTCGGTCTAATTTTCTAATTTGGAAACACACATTAGATCTCCAAATTCCACCTGCTGGCACTCAAACTGG